GCTGAAGTAACTTAACCACAGCTAGGCTCTACCACCTTTAAAATTCCAGTTTTTAAAAAGTTTTTAGTTCGATTCTTCTTATTTGAAACGGAAACTGAAAGTTATTGTAAGAAAGTCTAAGTTTTACACATTTCTTTAATTAATCCTCGAACTTTAATAATAAGTACAGAAAGAAATATTTAAAGCGTGATGTCAATTATATATTATATATATTTATTTGTAATAATTAATTATTAATTATTATCAATACATTCTCTCTGCATGGACTCCTACCTTTGTAAAAGTAATAAAGGTATCGATATAAAACTATACATAAGGCACCCGTATAGACTCTCATAACGTATCACTTTGTATTTATTCTTTCCTCTTCTAGTATTTCAACTGAGATTTACTTAAAAAAAATATAGGAAAACACCTCAACTTTGATATTGCTGTTATTGTTGCTAATTTGAAGAAAGAATATATGTATATTCAAAAGTTTAACTTCGACCGTCCCCGTTATTTTTTACAGAAACAGATCCAAAGGAAATCTTGCAACAATAATTTTTTACAACAGACCAAGTGACGGTGATATGTAAGAAATGTTTTATGCTGATGCAAACCAGTTCAGATAATGAGTCAACTTTCCAAGGGCCATCTAGTTGTAAAATGTTCTCTTTGAAGAAAATGATTTATACAAGTGTAATAAACACAAGCGTTTGTACTTATTAATCGTTGTATATCGCATTTTAATATTTAAATTCTTATGACATAAATGGCTTTATATTGCTCCATACTTAAAAAAAGGTTAAATAATATTAAAACCCAAAATAATATATACTTTCTTTACTCTTCCTTTTTTCTTAACGCTATGATTTGAATAAATATAATAATTTTTATACAAAAAATATTCTATCATAATCCTTATTATTTTTCAATAAGAGTGGATGGACGGCGAACGTAGCTTGTCCGTCTGATACTGACACATTTTAATTAATATCAGACATATTTCATGATGGACTCATATTCAAAAATTGCATTCATTTTTAAATTGCGTGTTATTTTACGTTATTCCCATAAACATTTAGTAAATACCTAGTTTTAACGAGACGTAAAATATTATACATCCAATTGAACAGTGCTAATATTTTGTAAACGGAATATTTTATAGTCAAACTTATACCTTATACCTGAGTTGTTCTTAAATGACCCCTTTGAATTAAAATTCTGATAACACCACAGATTTTTCACTTTAAATAGTTGGAAATATATGTATACTAAAATAACAAAAAGATGATTTCTGAAAAGTAAAACAATTCTGAGATAAATTGGCTGCTAGACTAAGCGCCGACGACAATTAGTTCTCTACTTATTGAGATTTGAAGTTTAGAAGGTGTAAACTATAAAGCGGTTTTTAATGAAAACAACTAAATAATAATAAGAATTTAGAAAATGGATTCTCTAAAATTATTTAATTTTATTGTTGTTGTTTTTTATCGTAATTAAAAAAGAATGGTTATAATACGAATCTTTACTTTTATAATTTTCTTTTGTCACATTTTGAAAATATCATATTATATGGTTACAATAAAATTTCACATTGAGGACTATAATTTTTTTAAGGGCGATTACAATTTTTTTGTGATTTTTAAACCAATGCAATAACAATTCAATAATAGATCTGTTGTGAAAGTTCTTTTTTGAATTCATTTAGTATGACAAGGAAGCTTATATTATCTAGTTAGTATATTTATATTATAGTAATTTAATGTCATAACAAAATGATGTTGTTGAAAGTCATTTTAAAAGCTGTCAAATTAGACATTTTAAAATATTTGTTGGTAAAGTAATTGATTAGTTCTAGGATATTCAAAGCATAAATAATATTTGGTTGCAAAATTGACGTATTCCCAATAATATTTTGCTCTATATATTATGACTGTTCTTGAAACAAATAATAATATTTCACGGAGCATAAATTATAAGCTAGGTTAGCTACAGGCAAAAAAGCGAGGAAAAGCCAAAACCTACTTTACACTATTCTTATTAAAATATGTCTGACAAAGAAAATTAATGTAATCGTTATTTATTAATTAAATTTAATCTTGATGCCACTGATTGATTTACAGCCTATTCAATTTAACCCTGTTAGTAACCAACAATGGTTAGTAAATTTATAATAATTATACTGAAAATTCATAAAATGTATGAATCGCCGTTTAGCACTCCCGGTGAACGTACGTTATTGCTCTGTTTTGTGGAATTCTACATTAATGAAATATTATATGTTATTATTGTTGGTGCATAAGTCTTATCAAAAATATATTTTATGAAACTAAGTTTATCGGATACTACACGTTTTTTTATTATTTTATTCTACATAAATCCGGTATTTCGGTTCGTTTACAGCAACTTTGATCATGGACAGTTAAGATCAAAGTATGCAGGTAATATCGCCTGTTATAAAAAAATATAAAAATGCGTAGTAGTATGTAAACTTATATTTATTTAAAAATTTACAAGCTAAAATCTTAGATGTCACTAAAAATATGTTATCCCTCATAGCAACTTTGAATAATCTTATTTCATTTATTACGGTAAGAAAAAATACAATAATGAATATTCTTAAGTAGCGATTTAATTTTTCTCTGCCTATAAATATGTATATTTACACATTTCTTCTTTCAAATATAATGTGTATCAAATATCTTATGGTAGTACATTTTTATGCAACTGGTTCAAGACTATATTTCAATATTAATTAATTATGTATATGATGAAACATATTTCAAAATTTGATGAATTGATATATTACAATTTGCTTAAAATATTCTTTTTAGTCTGGTTGTATTGGTTAAATTTTAATACTTTAAGAAAAGTTAATATACATATAACAGACAAATTCGGAAAACATCTTTGTATTAAATAATTTAGTCATAATAAGTAAATAAAGTATTAAAATTAGATTTAACGAAGTATTTATATTTTATGCAATGTGTGCCCTCTACAAGTAAAGAATTTATATTTATACACGATGGAAAAACAATCATCAAACCTAAATATTTCTAAATAATCCTAAACCAAGAAGAATATAATCATAATCCCCATTATCCACTTGAACCCCTCGCTATACCGTTTTATCGTAAACAGATTGCCTTGGCTAAACTTAACAAAGTAAATGTGGACATTGTACGAATGTTATTATATATTAAATAATATCTGAAATTATCTCATTCATTTTAAACGCTTAAATATTTTTTTATAAGCTTATTCCCACAAAGTGAGTTATAGTCGTTATGATTATTATAAATCATATAGCATATCATGTTTAATATGTCATTTTGCGGCTGTTTTCAACAATCTCTCTTTGAAATAACCAGTTATAAAAATTGTATAAGATAGATTTTGTATAATAAGGTATATGTTTCCATAATAACAATCAGTGATACTACTATATGTTAAGGGAGTTACTGACAGATTAGGCAATATTTTGAAGAGAGTTTCGATCAAGATTATTAAAAACCACATTAGAAAGTTAGCCAATTCTTGAGACAAATCAAGAATAACAGTCGTTTACAACAAGCGAGTGTATACAAACTTGATTGTGACTGTGGCTTGTCATACATCGGATAGACAAACAGAAGCATCAGTACAAGAGTTAAGGAACACGTTTCAGACGTCAAAACAGGCGCGCGTCGAAGTCAGCAGTGTGTAACCATGCACCATGCACACATGCACAGTGGACAAACCAGACCATTACATTAGATTTGATAAACCCACATATCCTCGCTCGTGAAGACAAGTTTATACCAAGGTTATTCCGCGAGGCTATTGAAATTTAAAAACACCCCAATTCCAATAAAGAAGATGGTTGGAACCTATCGAACACCTTGGATCATCTTCTTAAAAATATAAAATCCCATGTCCGTGTGCGCATTTTGCCGGTATTCAGAGTGGTACGCCAAATAATTAAAAAATCGATGGCGATAAAATAACAAGACCGATTGACAGACACTCACATCTCGTCGGCCCGTGATCATGGTTGCTGTAAAGTAACTGAAACGTCGGGAGTATGTAGTTTATAATAAAAAATAAAATCGTGTAGTACATCCGAAACATATTAGTTTCATGTATATGTTTCCATCCGTAAAAATTTATTAAAGTTCAGTTTCTGTTTTCCAGATCAGTGATATCTGTTTTTCTTTCAGATTCAAAATATTATCGTACTTCATTATATATAAAATATGAATTTGAATATTTTTGCCAATAACACGCCATGAAATTCTTATATAAAATTCAACGAACAAGAAAATAAAAACGAAGTAATTTATGGTACAACGGTTAAAATCAAAACAATCAGTGTAATATATTTATACACTATTATATTTTCGGGGTAATATGTTAAGACTTCACAAACAATTAATTATTACGTTCAATACAAGTGGAAGGGTTATTCCATAAATGACTTTATCTTCGGATCCATGGCGTTACGACTCATTTAGTTAACGTGATTTAAATTATAGCATAACTTAATTTACGCATATCTAATTTATTTATTATCGTTTTCGTTTCAATTGTATCCAGAATATTAATTCAATTATGTAATTTCAATTTAACTTATGTACTGCTCCTCGAATCCTAGTTCACAAATAACAATATACCCTCCACATATCTTGAAAAATTGTCAAAAACTCAATAAGGGTAATAAGGGGCCATCCACAAAGTCCGACACACTAATTTTTGGACTTTTAAGCTCCTCCCCCATCCTTATCACATGTTTATAACCTCTCACCCCTCGTGATGTGATGTCACACATTTTTAAAATTTTACCATTATAACGCTGCTCTAGTAGTTAAATGACGTTGCACGAGGTATTGTCTCATAGTGAGAATACTAAATGAGACGAAACCTCTTAGCATTCGATGGATTCACCGTGCGGGTGCCGGGTCCATCGCGTTGCAGGGAGAGGAGCTTCAACAGTGCCTGGGACTTGCGACCCAGGTGTAGGTTTAAGGGGCCCCTTAACTAACGCGCGTTATACGCTCACCTCCACTGTCCAAGTTCCTCTCCCTACCTAACCAAATTTGAAAAGAACCTACTAGGGCTGCCTTCGACGTACGTTCTAAGAATGAATTAATGTTAGTTCTGGACAGGCCCAAGTCTTTTAGTAGGTTATAGAGAGATTTAGCTGTTATACCTCTCGCTCCCACCTCTACCGCGTACAAATCAACAACGAACCTATTTCGAGTTAGTTCGTTAGTGAGCTCGTAATACTTATTGACCTTGATGGCATGGTCTTTGGGGATGTTGGTTTCCCAAGGCACCGTAAGCTCTATCATCACAACGCGCTTTAAAATACGCGAATATAGAAATATGTCTGGTCTGGAGGCCGACGCACAAATATCCTCGGGGATTTTGTATTGTTTCTCATACGTATCCATCATGATAGTCCAATCCGAAGCCGCTTTAAGGATAGAGTAAGGCTTGACGTTTGATTTTATAGCCCTGGTGCCCTCTCTCACAAAACCTATTGATCGCTCGTTTGTGGTTATTTCCCTTTGCGCTCTGGCTACCGAAAGACTAACCGCTTCACGTATGATCTCTAAAACCCTATCGTGACGACGCGAGTATTGACCGCTGTCCAGGAGAACCCTACATCCCACCAGCAAATGCTTGGCAGTTCCAACTGCCTTTCCGCAGATATAGCAAGTTTTTTCGGTACCTTTACCCCATCTTACTAAATTACTCTGATCTGGGAGAGTCATCTGGAACGCATTGAGATAAAATTTTAGCAAGGCTGGCGACCAGTCATGAATTAGGGTGCGCCATTTTAGTGCTAGTGGAATGCAAAAATCTCCTATGTCTAACCAATCGTTCTGCATTTCTAAACTCATTGCATGGATCTTGTATTTATCGTTCTCGTCTTGCCGAATAAAAGACTTCAATATATCCGTATCTTGGACTTTCCTACTTGATCCTAACCCTACTCTGTTATTTTGCGCTCCGATCATAAATTGTTTATGGAATTGAAGTCGTGACTCTAGCTCTGGGGCATCATTGTCTTTTGGGAGTGATGTAACGACGTCATCATGGGATTTTCCCAGGATATGTCTCTTGGAAACTCTTAGGTGTTTGTAGAGCTCCGATGGTCTTTTTAGATTCATCCCAAAACTATTACGATCCCTGAATAAAGCCGATGAGTCAGCCGTTAGCGCGAGCCCGAGCCACAACTTCAACATCTTTATGACGCCTGCATCTAATTTAGATAAAAGGGTTTTACTAAAATCATAGACGAGGAAAGGCCAATTCAAACGTGAAGTTAAGTAATTATCGTAGATCCATGCTTTTTTTACGTTACTGATCTGCTGGCTATCTACCTTGTTGAGATCATTTAAAAAGCTATCTACTATTCCTTCTAAAGATGGAGTACGACCTATATTATCAATGTTACGACCGAGAAACTTGAATGGTGCATTTTCCGTAACCGTAGAAACGCATTGACCGCCTATCGATAGTCCCGGATCGTATGAGGTGTATCTTGTATTCCGCCTACCAAGACACAGACAGTGACATTTACTTGGTTTTGTCCTCAATCCATCCGTCCACTCACAGAATTTATCCACTTCATCCAATAGTACTTGACAGTGTTTGGGGTGACGTGTCAGTATTGCGAGATCGTCAGCGAAGGCTAAAATGGATTCCGTGTATTTGTTATTGAACTTAAACCGATACCCCCATTTTTTCTCATTGCTGATAAGTTTATCTACTAGGATATTGATTACAATATTAAATACTATTGGAGATAAACAGCACCCTTGGAATAGTCCTACATTGTAACTCAAACTTTTTGAAGGGCCTTCTTTAGTTATAATAGAAAACTTTAATTTTGAGTAATACGACGCAATCATATCGCTAGCTAAGGGTGGAAAGTTATACCATCTAAGCGCGAATAGCATCAACTCGTGTTGTATCGACCCGAACGCGTTCTCTAAGTCTATCCAACAAACTGTAATTTGCCGCTCGCTTTTTCTAGCATCTTTCAAACTCTCCGACAGCAAGGTGTTGTGTTCTAGGCATCCAGAAATCCCGGGTAGAAACCCTTTCTGGTGATTTGGCCTAAAATACTTGTTGCTGAGCATGAATCGCGTCATTCTCGTTTGTAGGACCGAGAAAAAGATTTTAGATATTGTATTTGTTAAGGCTATCGGTCTAGTATCTTTCGGATCGGTAACTCGATCTTTTTTGGGAATGAGGACAAACATTGCTTTCCCGAAACACTCCGGGATTTGCTTCCTTGACCAGATTTTGCCGTATATATTTATGAGGTGTTTACGAACCGATGGACATTTTTTAAAGACTATATATGGGATACCATCGGGGCCCGGTGCAGATTTAGATGATTTCCTCTTTATGTGACTACTTATTTCGTCTAACGTTGGTGGTATGCCGTGAAAATCGATATGAGGAATTTCCGGTTTTTGTTCGTTTGGATCCGTATAGAGCCTTACACTTTTAGGCACTTCGTATGTGCTCTTGAAATGGTCGTAAATTTGATCGTTGGTCAAGAGAAGCTGTCCGCGTTCTTTCTTAAAAATGGTTTTCGAATACTCAAAAGGGTTTTTATCAAAATCTACTTCCTGTTTGGCCCGGTCAAAATTACCGCGATATTCTGCAGTTTGTGCCGATATTCCTTGAATTAATTTAAGGATTGACCTTAACGCCCTAGCTAGCTGATGACTAAGGTGGTTGTCGCCTAGAGCTTTGGCTATACGTAGATTTTTTATTAATTCCCGTTTTTTCTTCCTCATTTTTATCTTGAACGAATTTTCTTTATTTTTGCGAGCGTAATGATTACGTGGTGGATATTGCTCGTTGAAGAATAAATATAGATTAAGTTCGTAATTTTTTAAAATAACAATTTACATCCAAAATTCATGTTTTAGTATTTTAAATTTTAATATGTGATGTCACATAACTATTGACCCCCGTGCCCCTGTTGATACCCTTCCTCTTCGTTAACATTTGACATATTTTATGAATAGCCCTAATTAGTAAATGTCAAACAGAATTTATACCTTGGCACCAGCACTCTTATTTTTTTTTTAAATAATTTCTCAGTTATCTCGGTCCTTCAAATTACTATAGAAGGTACCTAAAATTTTAATTTAATTTTATATTAAAACATGTTTGATATTATAAATACCCCAAAAGTTTAATATTAAAGTGACCTTTCTTCTTCATGAATTGAATAAAAATTTATAGCCAACATCGAGGACTACATGATTGTCTATTTTATGATAGAAATGCTGTCAAATTATCAATGTGGTATAAGGAATCTTCTGATTCATATGGGATTATTTAGTACTTTACCCATACAAAGTTACACTGCGATGACATAAAATTTTGAATGAAGTATTTTTCGCATAAGCAACACAAAAAATAAATAAATTTGAGAACAGCGCCAGAAAATAATGATACTAATTGAAGGATTTTTTTATTTATGTGAATATATACAAATAGAATATATTTGTTGTCAAAAGATACCGATCCCAATGATAAAATTAAAACTATTTTCCACTAAAGTTTGTTAGCGATATATTACTTGTTCCAACCGATCGTTGAAGCCTTTTAAAACAATAAATTCATCACTCGTCGCCAATGCTCCACTATTCACTGTCAGGAATATATACATTATACAACAAGGGAATAAAAAAGTTTTCTTTTAACAGGAAATTTTAAATAGACAATCTTTTTTATTCAAGCCAATTATGTCGTAGTTATAAATCGCTTTAAAGTTGAAACATGCTCTGTGAAATCCATACAGTAAATGTTAAAATCACATATAAAATATGTGATTTGTTTTAATGTGTAATTCAAAAAAAAGTAAATTATTTAGTTTAATACTATTTCATTATAAATTTTATATCGAACAACGTAGGCGTTGTAGAAATAATTGTGTTCAATCTCAACGGCAATTAACTACAAAACTCTTTTTAAAGACTTCACAATTTGATGTCGCCTTAAATTTAAATTGACCTTAAATGAAACAGTCCCTAGGAACAAAAAAATGATGACTGACGAAATATTTTGGTTCTTTCCAATGATGTAACAAAGTGATAATATTGTCGTATTCAATAAGAAAAATTATAGTCACAAATATACCTACATTGTTACTCAAAAATAGAGGCTTGAAATAAAAATGGATACATTTTAAAAGATTATAAAAGTGTATATTTACATAATTATTTTTGTTACGTAGCTGTTCCTGTGTCGTCACCCAAGCGGACGCACTTGTGACGTACAAATGCGCTACATATAAAGAAAAAAATTAAACATGGCCGGGGTGACATCTTTGTATCGGTAAAATATACATAGTATAACGAGTGGGCGTATCTCGGCGCCGGCGGCTGACTCAGTGGAACCAACACCAAGCCGTGTGAACCAGAAGATTCCACATACCACAATAGCAATAGAATTCCATTGTCATCCTACCATCGGGGTAATCATGTAGTCTTAGGTATAGGTTATAAGTTTTAATATTTAATTCTCTTTTTAATATACACATAAGTATGTTTCGCAGTTTTCCTGGAACCTCTGGTTGCCACCCTACATAATTCACTTGCGTCGTTCCATTTATTGATCTATGTAATCGTTTTTGAATACGTAGTTTATAATTCCTTTGTACATATATTGCTGCTTTGTACAAATAAATCATAGTATATGCCTTACATGTAATGCTTAAGAGTATAGAATTTCTCATATTATCCAGAGTGATTTCAAGTAAGGGATCATTTTGACGAAATAAACTATGTCTTCTAATTTTAATTGGTTTGTTAGCTTAATATTAGTGGCCATTTTTTGTTGCTGAATAGATATTCAATGTACTTAATATTTGTCTACAGCATTGCGATAAGTCTATGTGGTTTTTTTTAGATCAAGCTTATCTGGCATCAAAAAGACTTTCTCTTTGTTTGGTCATTAAGTTACTTCTATTTTGAGTTCATTATGTTCAAAACGATTTGCTCGCTAATATGGAGACTTGATAGCTCTTGTAGTTTGCTAGTGTAGTTTTGACTAGTTTCTAGGACTCATGTATTTTGAGGATCGTTTTAAATTGTTAAATAGTTTTTGGCTTAAAACAGATATTCAGTGCTGATAAACATTTTTTATTACATTTTATTTATGATTAGATAACAGTGCTATACATTAAAAGAAACAGAAATGACTGCTTGACTTATTCTTCATAAAAAAATTTATGTACTTGTAAAAATCTATGCTTGTGTTGTGGTTTGAGAAAAACTTTTTGTTGCAAGCCGATTGATTGCTTAGGAGCTATTTCTTTAGTAGTTTTCAGTTTAACCATTTTTTCTATATAATATAAAGCTACTTTTAATTAATTTTCATAATAATATTAATGGTCTTATTGCCGAACTATGAATTATGTTTTGTTAGTTTGAATAAATACAGTCAATACATCTATACTCGTATATAAAAGAAAGTCTAGTTAGTTACTCCACTTATAACTCAAGAACGGCTGAACCGATTTAGCTGAAAATTGGCAAAGAAGTAGTTTAGAGCCAGAAAAAGGACTTAGGATACTTTTCATCCCATTCGATAGCATTCCCGTGTGACTTGGCATGAAACGTTAGTCACTATAAAACGTATTATAACAAAACAGAATCAGACTTTAAATCACCAAACGAAATGTTACATAAAACAAAGCCTTCTTGTGGCAAAACGGAGTTGAGGGGTTTACTAGTAATTTAATACAACAATACATCCTGCCTAGCTTAAAATCAAATTTTGTTAACGAAAGTGCAAGTAACAAAGATATTTTTCATTTCAGATCAAGCTAAGCTCTATTAAAGTAGGCTGGGGTCAAATATAATGTTGGCATGTTATCAGATTTTGCAGGTTACCTTGTCTAAAAGATATGATTGATGTTCAGTGAGACATGTTGTGAGCGGCTGTAAAAAGGTTCTAAGCTATAGAGGTTTGATGTGGCATGTTTTGAATAAAAATTGCAAAATATATTTTTGAACTAATATTCTATTCGAAGGAATAATATTTCGATATAATTTATTATCAAGATATGCATATCATATGGTAGTGATAAAATAGGTATTTATATTTTTGTTAACATAGTATTGAAATGTATATATCGGATTTATTACACATTCGTTGTTTTTAAAGAGAGTGACGTCATCCTCGCTGACGTCACTTATGTCACCTCTTCTAGTATGTTCGATGATATTTTAAAATGAAACTTCAATTATTCTTAATGTTCCTGTATTTCGCGAAAGTTCTTCATAATCACATTATTCAATGGTCCGCACTAACTCAACTTTGCCGTCATGCGTCCAGACGTCATATTTATACCAAGATTCAAACATAAGTCTATTCTTCTTTTAAACTATCTTTGATTTCGTTTTATTTTTAACTATAATCATGACTACTAATGAGTTTTAATAATAATTGTTGACAGGCTCAAGTTATTTTCATGTCGCATCCGTTATTAAAGCTGAAAGCGCCGATATATCGGATTTATTACACATTCATTGTTTTTAAAGAGAGGGACGCCAGCCTCGCTGTCCATGATATTTAAAATGAAACTTCAAATGTTCTTAATGCTCCTGTATTACTCAATGAACACTGAAATCTCAATTCTGCCGTCGTGCGTCCAGACGTCATAATTATACTAAGATTTAAACATAGTTCTATTCTCCTTTTAAACAACCTTTGATTTCGTTTTACTTTTAAAAATAATAATAAATACTAATGAGGTTTAATAAGAATTGATGACGGCCTCAAATTATTTTCATGTCGTATCCGTTATTAAAGCTGGTAGCGCTATATAATGTTTTATATATAATGTTTTATTTTTGTAACTTTTGAAATGTTTTAAAAAAATATCTAGATAATACATAATAGTTTTAGTAAATATTAGCGTGAAACAGAAGACTATTAGAACCAGGATAGTGTAATAACTAGTATAAGTGTAATAGAGCTTCTTCCTTACCTTAATATTTATAATTATAAATAATTGACGTAGCTGTAGTATTGCCAAGAATTATTAAGCCATGTCGCTACCTTTTTCAGTAATATTAACACAAATAGCTATTTGTTATAATATAATCTATATTTATAATTTATTATAATGTTGAAGCTGTGTGATTTATGTTTCCAAGTTTTAAAAATGTATCTGCATTTTGAAGCTATAAATACTAGCATAGGCCATTTTGAATGGTATTGTAAAAATACATAAATGCTGAGCATAAATCAAGATTGTGTTTGCATATCAACAATATCAACTTTGGAAATACGTATGTTAAAGATTCATGTAAATATTAAATTAAATTGTATATAATTATTTAAAAGATATAACAATTTCATAGCTTGTTATTCTTCACTATTATACGTGTGTCAAACATATTGTTTTACTTGATGAGATCTAAGATTTTTCAGAATCTTATTCATTTAAATAAAACTAATATTTTTCGGCAGACAGGCAGAAATTTTTAGAAGTTATATTTATTTTTGTCTTCGTTTTCGAAAACTAAAAGGTCGTTGTGCCATTTCTGTTGGTAGTAATATATTTAAACGTTTAGCATCGTAAAAAATTATAAAAATACAAGGCAATATACATAGTTGAAACATTAAAATATTTTTCATATGCACTTAATATACAAACTTGAATAACTTTAAAACAACATATGTAGTAAACACAAAATTCAATAAATGTTAAACTTTATACTCCTAATGAATTTCCTCAAATATGATTTTGTAAATACCTAGTTATTCTGTTGTA